TGTCATGCTTACATTTTAAAATATTGTTTAGACTACTGATAAGAGCATACACTGTTGTCATTCAGACCTTTAGCTGAACAATCGCATTTCTAAATGCTTAGATGGTATTCAATGTGCTGCCACTCCTCTGCTCAAAAAACCTATGCGGACTCCCTGAGACTTACCGCATTAAAGCATGTGAGCGTGGAGACAAGCACTGAGACATGTCAGCGTGATCAAACAGCCCCGCTTTACCTTGCCTGCCTCCTTATTAAACTTTAGTGACAGACATGGTCTACTTTCTAGACATGCAGTTGTGACGAGTGTATTTGCCGATCTTCCTGATAGTCACTAGGGGCATCATGGAACCAAGTATCTGCACAACCCCAGAAAATGTGAGGCATAGGTTCACCCAAACAAAAAGATCAAAAAGCACAACAAACCGACTTCCTGCCATCGAGTTGGACAGGGTAGATCTGCCTCTGTGAGTTTCCCAGCCTGTAACTTTTTACGGGAGGAGAAAGCCTCACCTTCCTCCCATGGAGGGCTGTTGGTTTCAAACTGCTGACCTTGTGCTTAGCAGCCCAACGTCTAACTCATTATGCCACCAGGATATGCAAGGAGAAAGCTGACAGCCTATGCAATCACGAGGTGTCAAAGGGATCAGGGATCAGGCATCATCAGAACAAAAAATCTTACCATAGTGAATGAGGTGGGGAGTGCGGAGTGGACACCCAAAGCCCATTAGTAGGCCATTGGAGATCTCCTCGCAGAGGGGTCTCGGGGAGGAGAGGAGCCAGTCAGGGTGCGATGTAGCAACGATGAAAAATACAACTTTCCTCTAGTTCTTAAATGTTTCCTCCCCGCTCCCACTATCAGGACACGAATTCTACCTTGCAAGTCTGGCTAGACCAGAGGATGTACACTGGTACAGATAGGAACTGGAAATACAGGGAATCCAGGGCGGATGATCCCTTCAGGACCAGTGGTGTGCGTGGCGATACTGGGAGGGTAGAGGGAGAGTGGGTTGGAAAGAGGGAACCAATTACAAGGAACTATATGTAACCTCCTCCCTGGGGGACGGACAACCGAAAAGTGGGTGAAGGGAGACGTTGGACAGGGCAAGATATGACAAAATGATAATTTATAAATTATCAAGGGCTCATGAGGGAGGGGGGAGCGGGGAGGGAGGGGAAAAATTGAGGACCTGATGCCGGGGGCTTGAGTGGAGAGGAAATGTTTTGAGAATGATGAGGGCAATGAATGTACAAATGCGCTTTTACACAGTTGATGTATGTATGGATTGTGATAAGAGTTGTATGAGTCCCTAATAAAATGAAAGCTGCCAGCCACTCCAACAATCCTTTGCTCTTGTTCAGAGTCCCAGCTGCCCCATCTGTGTTTTGTGTGGTTGTTGCTGTTTCTAAAGAGGTTATTCCTTTAACTTTGCAAGTTTTATCTCATGCCTCATTGCTGTGCCCGTTACTTGGGGAGGGCTAGGCAAATCATCTTCAAAACAATATGAACCCACTAACTTCTCCACGTCCCAAGCAATTCTATTACCACTGTTTGCACCACAATTAAAAAACAAAAAACAGTCTTTTCTGTGCATGTGAAGACCTTCCTATATAATTTTTAAAGAATTTGATAATTTTATATAACTTAACACTTTAACATCAACAATAAGTTAAAGGGTCATTATGCATTTTTCTTAACCTCAGCATCTCCCTTCATGAAGCAATCTGTCTCTCTTTCCTTGGCTCTTCCATTGCATTTCATTCTTCTATCAACTGTGAATTAGGTGTTGGGATAGCTAACCAAAGGTCAGCAATTCAAACTCACCAGCAGCTCCTCAGGAGAAAGATGAGGCTATCTGCTCTCATAAACATGTACAGCCTTGTGAACCCTACAGAGGATCCCTCTGAATCAGAATTGACTCAATGGCAATGCAGTTTTGGTATGGAGCATAAATAAGGACTCCTGGCTGCACAGTAATTAAGCTAACAGAAAGACCAATGGTTCAAATCCCCCAGCCACACCACAGGAAGAGATGTGGCCATCTGTTTCTCTAAAGATTACAAACTTGTAAATCCAATGGGGCAGTTTTATTCTATCTTCTAGAACCACTATGAGTCAGAATAAAATCAGTGGCAATGAATTTGGCTTTTGAGCATAACTTGTTTTCTGTCTTGTAATCAATAGACGCTTGTCTCCACTCTGAGATTATAGCTCCTTTAGGTAAGGTACTGTTTTACCCTTATTTGCACTCCTTCTAATACTCTACTGATAGGGACCCTGGTGGCACAGTGGTTATGCATTGGTCTGCTAACCAAAAGGTCAACAGTTCAAGGTCAGTGGCCGCCAGCCACCCACTGGGAGAAAGATAAGGCTTTTTACTTCTGTGGAAAGTTACACTCTCAGAAACCCAGAGGCAGGGCTACCTGTCCTATAGGGTCACTAAGGTTCAGCAGCAACTCAGGGGCAGTAAATACTCAGCCCAATGGCCTGACACAGTATAGGTACACAATTCACATTTTTTGAATGAAGGAATTGATCCAAAGAGATTTCTATGATGATATTACTACAGATTCCTTTTCTATATAAGTTTGTCAAACAGCTTAGAAATAAAACATGCACTAAAAGCAGTTCCAAGAATCTGCTTATAGAATTATTGGTATGGCCAGACACTTGTGCCTCTAACTGTGTACCATTGAGGCTGCTGGCACTTGTGCCTCAAGGCCAACTCTACACTCTGCTGCACTTCTGAATCCTGGCTCGGGTTCGCCTGTTAGATCTCTTTCTTCTCTTCTGGACCCTCTCCTTCTTCTTGCAGAAACCAGCCCCTTCCCAATTCTGTCAACCAGCTCAGAGGCTCAGAGCAACTTTATGACCTTACTAAGTTATTGATGCATTTAATGTTATCTCCAGTGCTTGTGCACACATCTATTAAAGGCGATTAAAAAACACTCCAAAAAAATTTAAAAATAAATAAATTCATTTAAAAGGTGAAAAAAGCAACAACAGAAAAAGAATTATTGGTATGATAAAATTCTAAGAACTCAGGTGACACACCGGCACACACACCCCCACCGGCCTGTATGGAAAGCTACTCTGGTTTTTTTTAATCGTTTTATTAGGGGCTCATACAACTCTTATCACAATCTATACATACATCAATTGTGTCAAGCACATTTGTACATTCATTGCCCTCCTCATTCTCAAAACATTTGTTCTCCACTTAAATCCCCGGCATCAGGTCCTCATTTTTACCCCTCCTTCCCTGCTCCCCCCTCCTTCATGAACCCTTGATAATTTATAAATTATCATTTTGTCATATCTTGCCCTGTCCGACATCTCCCTTCACCCACTTTTCTGTTTTCCGTCCCCCAGGGAGGAGGTCACATGTAGATCCTTGTAATTGTTTCCCCCTTTCCAACCCACCCTTCCTCTACCCTC